CAGGGAGAAGCCCTGGTGGAAATTTGCTCAGCAAGGTCAGGTAATAAGATAGTTTTGGTTGTCTTGGGCCCTGACCTGTTCTCAAGGGGGAAGAGCAGAGCCAGGATTCTCTTGGAAGGGTTTTGAGGAAGATGATGTAGCAACCACCTCACTGAAAGTGGAAGAAGGCTGTGCCTGGAGCCTGCCTGGAGGCTTGGGGTGATGCAGGGGAAGGAGTGCTTTTCTCAGCCTGTCTTTTCTCCTCTCAAGGAAGAATGGACTTCAAGATTTCACTGCAGGCTCTTTTCACGTGAATATCAGCATCTGCCTACTGCAGCCCAGGATGGAGGTACAGAGTGCCAAGGATGGAGAGAAGGTAAGGTAATACTGTTTGAGGAGTGATGCCTTTTTTAACAGTCTGAATGAGGAAGTACAACTGTTGGCTGATGGGGAGGTATCTTGTGGTCAGACCCTAAACCTTGGAAGTTCCCTGGAGGGGGCAGAAGAGCATTGAGGAATGAGGGGGCTTTTTGTGCCCTGTGCCCATGTGGCCGAGTGAGGGCAACACCTGGCAGGGAACTGCTGCTCCCTGGGGCAGAGGTTTCAGGGCTGAGCTTGCTGCCATGGCTCAGAGGCTGGGGGGAGAAAAAGCAATATGGGGCGGGTAGAGACAGTGTCTGCTGCTGACAGTTTTTCTCCTGCTACTTCAGAAACTTTAATTCCCTGATGCTTGACTGGATGCTAAGTCAATTAATGTGGCTCTGGTAAATACCCTGACCAAGTGGTCCTAGCTTGCCTGAAAATCTTATCGTTGTATCAAGCATGTCTCTTTTTCAAGCTTTATTATCTTATATTTCCATTGAATCCATAAGTTTAATGCTATCAGTGTTTACTGGATAATGTTTGAAATCTAAAAAAAAACTTGGTCAAGACTGCAGTTATTCAGATATTAGGGTAGTGAAGAAAGGATTTAGCAGCTCAGAAGAAAATATTTTTCCTCTGTTGTATATGCTTGTTCTAGATTGTATTCCATACTATTTCTGTATTTAACTGGTGTTGGTTCAATGTTTTTGCCATGCTGCTTGTATGCTTACATCAGCATAAATCAACAAAACCAGAAGAAATATCTCGGCCGATGTCTCCTCAAGAAAAAATGAGAATGCATCAGTGAGTCTAGTGTTTGTGGCTTCAGGGTGACTCACTGAGACAAACATACTTAAATGTGGGTACTCCCTTGGCATGAAACCTTTGTCATCACTTAACAGGGTAGGAAGAATAACATTGATCTTGCTCCTTCCTCTTGGCGAGAAGAGTTGTTGGGTTCAGTTAGAATCAGAGCTACTCTGAGTGCACTGCCATGAGTAGGGAGCCACAGCCTGAAATGTGTTTGTGGTCAGGCAAGGACTTCTGTATACATCTATTTTTGGTTTTTATGTCTTCTCCTTCATGTATCTGAGTCACTCATTCCTTCGCAGTACGTGTGTGGTGCTGAAAAGGCAGCAAAGTCACGATTCTCTCCTGTCATTAACAGGGCACATCACTAACCAAACTCTTGAAAGCTTCTGTTCAGAGATGGTCCTTATGCTTGCCTCTAATATGGTGGCTGCTAAGCAGCTCGTGAGGTCTCCAGATAAACCACTCTTAAACTGAAATGAATTTAGAGCCTCCACTGGCTACTCCACAGATCTGAAACAGCACTTTTGATGACTGGCTGCTTTCATGCATTATGTACCCTTTTTGAAAAACCCTCTCTGAAGAAGAATAAAACAGTAATCCTGTAAGATTATTATGAAAAGACAGATCTGAATGATGAAACTGTGCTTCAGTTTCAAAGAATGTTACAAATGAGAGAGTGCTGCTAGCAACCCCCATATTTCCAAGAATATTGACAGCTAGTCAGGAGAAAAACAGAACAGGACTGCTTTGAAACCTCTCAAAGTGTCTGCAGAAATGTCATTTATGCAAAATATTAGCTAGATCTGATCAGAATGCAATTTAATGATACAGCACTTGGTTTTCTTTGAAAGAAGTTCCAACAACCTTCAGTTTATGTTTATGCAAAGCTGAAAGATTTTGACAAGTCCAAAGCAAATTAAAGTGAAAAATTAAAATTTAAAATGAAATAGCTATTCAAATAGAGACAAATATCTTTGTTCTAGTCCTGCTGGCAGAAATGTTTGTGGATTTTTCCTACCAATACTTCTTTATTTGATTTAATTGCAATCCAGGCAAAGAGATCTTTTTCCTGCTTTTCCTGCTTTCTCCTTCTCCCCCCTCTTCTTCTTTGTTAAGGACCTTGTAGTCAGCAAGAATGACATTTCACTCACCTGTGGATCTCCTCTTGTTCAGAAGTGACTGACAGAGAATGACAAGTGTAAAAAGGAGGACACTGATGATTCCTATTGAACACACAAACACTGCATACACGTACAGATCTGAAAGCCAAGCATAGATGTTGGTCAGTGTTGCATCTGTATGCCTCATGATTACAGGACAGAAAAATGTTACATATGCAAGATCTAAATGGACCCCAGTGCAAAAGATTTAGGGTAACATTCAGAAGTCATTTAACCCTCTTGAAACTTGCATGTAGTATCCCGCTCGGTTTAAAATTTGGTTGGTCCCCACAAATGCAAATAGATGGAAGAGGGCTTACTTTTGGGGTGGAGGAAAGGGCTGACATGGGTTTTTTTCTTTCTTTTTTTGGTTTTGTTTATTTATTTCCAGTGTGGTGACTGAAAAACAAAAGAACTTCAGTTGGATTATTTCCCAGTTCAAACAGCTGCATGTATGGTGGTGTGCGTTTTTGTCCTAAAAACTCCAAGAGAAGTGGTAGTGGAGGGAGTGCTGAGTGGCTGAAGAACAACAACAAAGTCTGTGATTGCTTCTTCTAGTGGCAGCACTGTCTTGAATTATTATTTTGGTTTTTTTTCTTTTTTGGTCTACAGCCTCAGTCTCCCGTTATGGCTTTCATTCAGGTGCCATAACACATTCGCAGCAGAGCTGACAGGAGTTGAACAATAGCAGATCAGGATGGAGTATTTTGTTCAGAAGGAGAAGCAATCTTTAATGACTTATTTCTGCTTTTACTTGAACTGTAAATAGAGTACTTTAAGGATGCTCTACTCTTTAATATCTTAAAATGTCCTTAGGGAGGTATATTGGCTTCTTTCCTGTTTCACAGAGAGGAAACTAAGCCTCAGAGGTCAAGTGTTTGTGTAGAAAATAGTGCTGCTGGAAGTAGACCGCTGACCTACAGTTCTGTCCTTTGTTCCCCTTACGCAATACAAGATGATACTTTGTAAAATGTGATATTTAAATAGCAAGGGTCCTCACAGAATCAAGGCCATCCTGCTAGTGAGTACTTCTGCCTGGGAGGCAGTGCAGCGGCTCCAAATTCTGTGCTGACCCTTTGCTGCTGCTCTGGGTTGGGGCGGGAGGAGGAGCAGGGAATCCCAACTGTGTGCAAATTCTGTACTCCAGTCTCCTGGAACAGTTGTCCACTGCTAGCCTGGAAATTCAAGGGAGCTTTAAGCTGCTCTTTCAGTGAGGAGCATGTTCAGTGGGTGGTTTTTAAGGATAGTGGGGGCATAGAGTGCTCAGTACCTCTTCAGACATGCTCAGCACCTTCCTGGATAAGGGTCTGCATTTGCCTTTTGTGATTAGCCAGGCACAAGTTATTTTCCCACTGACCATAACAAATATATGAGAAAGCCATTGTACTCTGTGGGGTGGTTTCTCAGGCAAGATCAGAGTCTGCATGGGAACTAGCAAAATTAGTCCTGATTGGGGCATGTCAGGTGTCCTGTAGCATGGACTAAACTAACTTCTTCTATAGAACCAGTAGCAGTTAGATGCATCTTTACCTTCAAAAAACTTCCAAGCTTCATGTTTTTTCTTGAAAGTGGGATCATCAGAAGATTTTGATGAAATCACTAAAGAAAAAAAAGGGAAAAAAACAAAAACAAAAACAACCAAAGAAGACATGACACAACAAGCACTGAAGAAGTGTAGCATAAAAAGTTGGTCTAAATACTTTAGAAATTGTGTATCTGAGCTGGAAAACAGGACACATGTACTTAGGCTCAGTGTTCCTGGCTTAGATGCAGGAACAGACTAGGCTGAACATCTTAACCAATGTAAACTGCTCTGTCACTGCTGTGTCAACAGGCACTGACTGTTGAGTGCAGAACAGCTTAAGCTCTCAGCCGAATTAATTCCCCTGCCTGCGTCTGGGAGCTTTTTCCCAAGAAGAAAGACTGCATAACCACAAGTTGTACCAGCTCGCCTAGGAAAAAGAATTAAGAAGGGAAATAGCTGCAGAGTTTGCACAGGTTTGTCCTCTCTGTTTCAGGAGGAGCAGACCACAGAGATCTGGGCAAATAGATGAATGTCAATATCGTAACAGCTATACAACCTAGCACCAGAATCCAAATGCTCTGACTGCTGGATAACTGTTCAAAACCCTCTTTGCTCTCATCAGCCAGACTGTTGATGACATCATAGAATCATAGAATGGCATAGGCTGGAAGGGACCTTAGATATCATCTAGTCCAACCTCCCTGTTGTGGGCAGGGACGCCACCTCTCGACTAGACCAGGCAACACATGGGGACCGAGCGGGGAAAAAGATTAGAAAATGTCATGTTAATCCATGATTTGTCTTCTGCTAGCAATCACTGCAATGGAATAGGAGTCTAGTGATGTCCTCCAGTTTGCAAGCGAGGTCTGAACCTCGCGGAGAGGTTCACATGACAAATTATTAAACAACAAGTATCTTACTGGAAAGGGAATTCATTAAGGAGTGCCCATGTGAGATGTGGGGTTAACTCAATGGATATGGAACTGCTTTCTGAACTAATGAAATCTTCTGTTCAGTTGTGATGGGAAGTTCACAGAAATATTTTAAAAAATCAACTCATTTGTTATATGAAGGCATCATGTGTGTAGACTTTTGGGAAATATTTTAGAATAACTTCCTTGGAAAAAAAAAAAAGTACTTCTGTCCTTGGATGATCTTGCATTCCTGTATCTTGCAACATTTTTACTGTTAGAAAATGCCACGTGACTAATATTTAATAGAACTCAGCCTCTGTTCTGTGGGAAACTGACACAAACTTACCAACAAGAAAAACTGTTGTGATGATCTCTACTTGTTTGTGTCATCCATGACAGTAGGGTTACAGACAAACTGCCTAATTCTCTATGTTTATCCTCCTACATGTAGTCTTGTCTCTTGTATTTTAAACCATTTAGAGCAGGTATTGCTCTTCCTAAGAGATGTGTAGTACCTTGCATAGTGATCTCGAGGGATTACCCAACTGTAAATGATGGTTCGGAGGTGGTGCATGCTGTTCTGAGAAGACTGCTCACTATTTTCAGTGTTCTGAAAGGAAGGCAGTGGGAGAACCATCTTTCTGATGTCTCTTATTACTTAAATAAACTGTTTTCTGGTGTATTCTGTACTATAATGAAGAATACTAACTTGGTTTTAGGCTAACATTGACCACACAAGCCCAGGAAAAGAGCAGATACCTTTGGTAAGAAGATGGAGGAAGGTGGAAAGGATCACCTTAGCTTAGAGTGAAGATGTTGCTTGGCTAGAGTAGGAGAGATTTCTTAGCAACATCGGGACATGCGTTTCTCTTAGTTTTACTACCAAGATTTAACAGTAACCTTTTTATAAATCCTAACTGATTTTTTTAACGTGGCAAACTGCAACGGTTTACATTTCAGCTGGGCTTTCTGCAAACATTATCAAGTTGCTCTAGTTGACATGGGAGTCCATGAACAGAAGACTCTAAGTACTCCGTTCCCATCAGATGAGGCTTCTTTTCTGAAGAAATGTATTCTGCCCCTAAAGGACAAGCCAGATATGCAGTTAAACTTTTAACTGCCAGCATTGCACATTAAGGATCTGTAGCCTGTAACTCAACTGGTTTTTTTACGCAACTCCAGTATGTGTATCTGTACACACTTAGGTGTTGCAAGAAAATGTATTTGCAACTTCTTAATGGCCGATGCAAACTAACGCTTGCAAACTTGCTAGCAAATAACAAAATCTGAGTATAAGTTAATAGCAGTAGATACTACAGACCTAGCCATAATCTGGTAAGGTCTTTTGCTTTGAATAGTGCTATGCTTGGTGGCTGACAAAAGCTATGTACTGAGCTGCCCCAGGTTTTTTGTGCTTCAAGAGCAAGACAGATTTTTGAAGAAGTAGAATAGCCCTTTTCCATTCCCGCTGGAAATCTATATCTTACACTGTGACCTCCTCTTCCTGTGTGAACAAAAAAGGGACCTAAATGCTATTTTTGCGTCCACTTGATGTGCAAGGTTGTAAAAAATTTGCCTGGTGCTTTAGCAGAAAGATACTATTTTGAATTTGGGCTTAACTGCAGACACGTTACCTGCAGCAAAATGTTAGACAAGACAGCAGCTGTGCTATTTGAACTGTTACCTTATTTGATAAAGCACAAGCAGTACAACTTAAGCATCCAAATGCTTCAGGGAATTTGTATTACTCTGTTTGTTACATCCTACATCTAACTGTAATATAAATTAATCTCTTTGCAATAAAAATATTGTAACTGATCATGTGCTTGGAAGAAAATTTCCTTGAAAAGTCCAAGTGTTATCATTGGGAAAACTGGAGACTTTATCACCGCTCTGTTGCCTTCCGTCCCACGTGTAGCAAGTCCTGTATGCTCACCGTGCATTAACTGAGTGCTAGCTACAGCAGTCCTTTTTTTCCAGTAAAGAGGCTTTCAGCAGTAAAACAGTTGCTACGGCATTTAGAAATATGTAATTTTTCAGATGTCTTTTAGTAACTTTAACGTGGATTTAGAATTAGAATAAACACTTTTTCGAGGTGGAGAGGGGTGTCATCCTCACAGGGCGCATCAGCAAAGTGTTTAGTCTACCAGTGAGTCTGCTTTCCTCCCTGCTCTCAGGTTTCCTGCTCTGCTCTGGGTTACCTTTGAAGCAGAGAGAAGCAACAGAGCTGAAACAGGCAGTTTGAGAAAGGTGAAGCCTTAAATGATGAGCCTTAAATCCCCACTCTGATTAAGTATTCATAAATCATACTAAAAATCAGGGCAAAAACCAGTATGTAAGGGATGAACTGAAACGTCACAGTTTTCCTTCTTTGCAATAACTAAACTGATCCAAACTCCACACTTTAGTGAGGAAGAGCAATGAGAGGTTTCTGTGTTATACTTAGCAATAGCCTGAGCAGCTATGAGAGACTCACGGTGGCTTTTTTTT